CCCCAGTTCTGGTAGACACCAGTTCTGGTAGACCCCATTTCTGGTAGACCCCAGTCCTCGTAGACCCCAGTTCTGGTAGACCCCAGTTCTGGTAGACCCCAGTTCTGGTAGACCCCAGTTCTGGTAGACCCCAGTTCTGGTGGACCCCAGTTCTGGTAGACCGCAGGCCTAATAGACCTCAGTCCTCGTAGACCCCAGTTCTAGTAGACCCTAGTTCTGGTAGACTCCAGTTATGGTAGACCCCAGGCCTAATAGGCCTCAGTCCCCCAGTTCTAGTAGACCCTAGTTCTGGTAGACCCCAGTTCTGGTAGACCCCAGGCCTAATTGACCTCAGACCTGGTAAACGTGTTGGTAGTTCCCAGTATTCATAGACCCCACCCCTGGTACACCCCATTAAACACCAGTACTGGTTTCTTTCTCTGTACTTTACAGAATACTAATTCTAAAGACCCACTCTTGCTCTTTCGCTTTATCCCTCTCTCGCTCACGAGCTCACATTGTTTCTCTTTTCTCCCTATTTTTTTTTTTATTTCTCTTTCTCTTTATTTTCTCTCTCCCTTTTCTCTTTCCTTTCTCTGTTTTCTATATCTTTCTTCCTTTCTTTCTTTCTTACTTCCTTTCTTTCTCTCTGTTTCCCTTCTCTCTCCCCGTCCACGATAATAAATAATAATAATGGAAGCTCCTCGAAATCGACCATCCTGACCATTACACCTCATATCACTATTAGTGATCTATGACGCACACACCATCACACCCCTATCACCTCCTCCCGCCCAACCCCCTACCCACTGTACCAGGTGGTTTGCGACTCACTACTGACGGGGGTCACATTTGTGGGAGCGTGTAGCGTTAGGAACTTTCCCCAGCTGTACCTAGAGAGTGCAGGTAAACAAACAAGACTAAACAGTAAGGCAGTTAGACCAAGGACAGTCGAGAAAGTCTTCATATGTTTATTCATAATACACCCTTTGCTTGATTCGGTTACTAATTAATTATAATTAGTCTTCATGAATCAAAGTTATAATTTGCTGGTGATTACAAAGAGCATTACATTACGCTTAGACAATCCGCTTCAACAATTCAACATTTTATGGTTAGTATAACACAGAAACTCACTCCCTTCTCTTGGTGTGCTTCTATCGGCTATGAATGTTTTAATTTTAGCTTTGAACTCTTTGTTAACAGTAATGGTTTTAGTGTGGTTAGTCAGTGTTCCAATCTTTTTTATATGTCAAGAAGATAGCCTATTGTGTTTGACTGAGGACAAATGATACCAAAGAATTGTGTTCACTCTTCCTTTTGGTTCATGTCCCTAATACTCATAAGCTGTTACACACTCTGTGTACAGTCCATTGAAATTCCAAAAAAAAAAAACGTGATTCAGCTTCGGTTACTTCACTCTATCATAAGAACATAACATAAGAATGGAGGAAATTGCAGCGGGCCTATTGGCCCATACTGGGCAGTCCCGTTTATACCCAACCGCTATCGCTCATACTGTACAGTATATCCATCCAACCTTTATTTGAAGCTACCCAGCGAATTCGAGTTAATGACGATGTTTGGTAACTTATTCCACCAATCCACTACTCTATTTCCAAACCAATGTTTACCTATCTAGCGCCTAAATCTAAATTTGTCTAATTTAAAACCACTGCCACAAGTTCGTTCCTGGTTGGATAGTTTGAGTACTGTACCTTTGTTATATCAGAAATGTTGTGTTCAGGTAATGTGGCAGGAATAGTCCAAGTGACAGTGTATGAGGGTGCCATGGGCATCAGCTGAGAGGCGTTTGGTATTTATATAAGAGATGGCAAGAAAGGAAGGTGATAAAGAGGGAGAGATCCTGAGAGAGTAGAGCAGGCATGAGTTACCCGGCTTCACAAGGGACCAAGGGAAGGGAGGACAGGATATATATATATATATATATATATATATATATATATATATATATATATATATATATATATATATATATATATATATATATATATATATATATATATAAAGGTTAAGTATCCAGTATAAAACTAGTATCACAATGTTGCTGTTCCACATGACCTGGATTTAGATCCTGTTTGGTAGTGTCCTGGTCAGGTCAGGTCAGCCTCCCCCCCCCTCCGGTCCACACCTTTCATAGTGAATTCAGTTATGGGGCGTCGTCACCAGCCAGGTGGAGGTGAAGAGTAATCTGACACCTGTACTAATGACAGCACTGACCTTTAGTATTGGAAGATTAAAAAGACAATAACTTAAGTAATGGAGAAACACACACACAAAAGACACCGTAAAATAACGTTGAGACAAAGAAACAGACAAAGACGGGTGAACATGTAGGTCAAACGACAATATTGTTTAGTGGATGTGCCTGAAAATAAAATTAATAGCAAACAAAAACAAACACACACGAGCACGATGGATAAACAGGGTGAGGTCGACTCTTATTTGTCTCCCTGTAGAAAAAAAAAATCTATCTAAGCTTTCCTTTTACCATGACGACAAGACAGTGTTCAGGAGACAGACAGACACACACACAGACAGACAGACAGACGGGGTGTTTCTGTCTTACATGCTGAAAAAAGACAGAAACAAAAATCCATACATTCATTCATTCATATATACATACATACATGAGAGAGAGAGAGAGACCTCCTTTGTATCGTCGTCTTCAAAAGAGCCTAACGACCCCCTATCAAGGCAGTTCTTGGTTATCTGGTTGTTGTATGTGTTGGACTTTATACAGTGTTGTATGGGTGTATACTGTTTGGATCGGTGTATACTTTTTTGGGATGGGCGTATACTTTTTTGGGATGGGCGTATACTTTTTTGGTATGGGCGTATACTTTTTTGGGATCGGTGTATACTTTTTTGGGATGGGTGTATACTTTTTGGTATGTATACTTTTTGGTATGATACTTTTTGGGATGGGCGTATACTTTTGGTATGGGCGTATACTTTTTTGGGATGGGTGTATACTTTTGGTGGTGTGGTATATACTTTTTTGGTATGGGCGCTTTTTGGGATCGGTGTATACTTTTTATGGGATGGGCGTATACTTTTTGGGATTGGGATGGTGTATACGGTATATACTTTTTTTATGGGCGTATGGTATGATACTTTTGGGGGTGTATACTATATACTTTTTTTGGTATGGGTGGCTTTTGGTACTCGTATGGGCGGGATGGTGTATACTTTTTGGTACTTTTTTGGTATGGGCGTATACTTTGCGGATGGTGTATACTTTTGGTATACTTTTTTTGGATGGGTGTATACTTTTTGGGATGGGCGTATACTACTTTTTGGTATGGGTATACTTTTTAAATGGGTGCATACCTTTTTGGGATGGGTGTATACTTTTTTGGGATGGGTGTATACTTTTTTGGTATGGGTGTATACTTTTTTGGGATGGTGGCATACTTTTTTGGGATACATACTTTTTGGGATGGGTGTATACAATGGGTGCATACTTTTTTGGTATGGGTGTATACTTTTTGGCATGGGCGTATACTTTTTAAATGGGTGTATACTTTTTAAATGGGTATACTTTTTGGTATGGGCGTATACTTTTTTGGTATGGGCATACTTTTTTGGGATGGTGTATACTTTTTGGTATGGGAGTATACTTTTTAAATGGGCATACTTTTTTGGTATGGGCGTATACTTTTTTGGGATGGGTGTATACTTTTTGGTATGGGCGCATACTTGGGATGTATACTTTGGGATGGTATACTTTTTAAATGGGTGTATACTTTTTGGTATGGGCGTATACTCTTTTTGGATATGTATACTTTTTGGCGTATTTTTGGTATGGGCGTATACTTTTTTAAATGGGTGTATACTTTTTTGGTATGGGCGTATACTTTTTTGGTATGGGTGTATACTTTTTTGGGATGGGTGTATACTTTTTTGGTATGGGCGTATACTTTTTTTGGTATGGGCGTATACTTTTTTAAATGGGTGTATACTTTTTTGGTATGGGCGTATACTTTTTTTGGTATGGGCGTATACTTTTTTGACATGTGTGTATAATACTTTCTGGTACGAAGAGACCTGAGTGTCGTATGCGTAAACCATCATTCTCTTCTTTTTTTTCGTATCTTTCGTGTTCACTGTCACCCGCACCTCCCTACCAAATTTCAACTCTCTCTAAAACTGTGGAAAATGCACAAGGAAAGTACACACACGTAGATAGATAGATAGATAGATAGATTAAGGAATAGAAGAATCAGTGAATAATTTCTCTTTCTTGCTCTCTCTTTCTCTATTTATCTCTCCCTCTGTCTCTTTCTCTTGATAGATAACCAAATAGAGAGCTTGAAAACTCGATAGACATTCAGAGTGTGTGGAACTTATGAGATAAAAATAAAACATTGTAGACATAACCATGGTTCTTTATAAGGAGGTCTAACCATATGTCTGAGAGAGAGAGAGAGAGAGAGAGAGAGAGAGAGAGAGAGAGACTGTAATTAGAAGAAAATAGCTTGATAATGGAAGGATAATTTTGGCGAGTTTTTAAGAAAATATTTTCTTTAGTGAGTAAATTCTAGGGTGGTGGTAGTGATGGTAGTAGTGGCGGTGATGGTAGAGGTGATGGTAGTAGTGATGGTGATGGTGGTGGTGATGGTAGTGATGATTGTGATGGTGGTGGTGATGGTAGTGGTGATTGTGATGGTAGTGGTGGTGGTGGTGGTGGTGGTGGTGGTGATGGTAGTAGTGATGGTAATGGTGATTGTGATGGTAGCGGTGATTGTGATGGTGGTGGTGATGGTAGTGGTGATTGTGATGGTAGTGATGGTAGTGGTGGTGGTGGTGGTGATTGTGATGGTATTGGTGGTGGTGATGGTAGTGGTCATTGTGATGGTGGGTGGTAGTGGTGGTGGTGATTGTAATGGTAGTGGTGGTAGTGGTGGTGGTGATTGTGATGGTAGTGGTGGTGGCGGTGATGGTGGTGGTAGTGATGATGATGATGATGATGGGAGCAGGACAGTAAAAAATAGTAGTCTGGTTGCATGGAGTTTATTAACAAGTAGACCACAAGCGGTGGATTGTGTCCAGTGATCTGGATGCTGGTCGATGGCCCCTAAGCAGTAGTCCTTAACTATTTACAAAAACACACACACAAAAGAAAACGTAAAAAAAAACAAGGAGTTTCCTAGAGGTGTCAAAGTGGATTAGGATTAGGGTATGTGTCGTAGAAAGGGATATACATAGGTTGGGATGTGTCCTGGATGGATGTCCATGTGGGTAGACCGTAGCACGTGTCCCTTGGGATGATGTCCGGGTTGGATTGTATAAAGTGACATGTGTCTTTGGAATGATGGTCTTTCAGGATACGTGTCTGGGAAGGATGTATGGAGTGGTCAGCCAGAGCCGTGAAGAACTGCCGACCCAAGCGACCTCTCTCTCAGTCAGGCGAACTCGTGATGCAGTATACTGTGTAGGTCATGCTGAGGAATGTTATCTTCCTCATTCTCGGGTGTTTCCAAGCGTGACCGAGAGGCAAGTGTTACTTTAATACACAGACCATCCAAGGACAGGTGCTTAGCGGTAGTCGTAGGGGAGGGTCGTGATTAACCCAGGTGTGTGTGTCGTACAACTTCAGAATTGTTTAGTTAATCCTCTCTCCTTGGTCGTTCCACTGGGCGCCCTGAGCTTTGAGTTGGGCCACGATCTGCAGGAGCTCCTCAACGTGGGCTGGGTTGGGAGGAGCCACTGGGATGAGGTCAGACTGGGGTTGGAAGCCATTCTCGTCGGCGATGTAGGTAACGTCAGCGGTTCTGCCGTCGTCAAGGGGGAAGCTGGCAAAGAATGGAAACCTCAGTTGGGGATCACAACATAGTGTTCACAACACCTTGTTAATATATTTTGTTTGTAACTTGACAATAAATTTTTGATAGAAGCAATTTGTGGCGTTGCTCCTGTATATATAATACATGAAAGGAAGAGTTTAACTCAAGCACTTTTTGTATTTTTACTAATGAGGCGAACATAGTAAAACGGCCTCCGAAAACAAGAGAAAAAACTTTCTAAATAATTTTTGATATGAAAAAGAAGATATATTTTGATCTAAATATTCTCTTTCAAAAGAGCTACAGTTATCAGAAGACCCTCCAGCACCCTCAGTAACATTACCACAGGCTCCATATATAGCCTCAGCATATGAACACTCACCTGAAGGAGCCCTCTATGTTGCTCTGGCCCTGTGAGCCTGGGTACCCTCTAGCATTCTGGTTGATTCCGTTCGACGTCTGGAATGAGTATCTGAAGTTTCCGTCGCCAGAATCCTCATTTTCATAGGCTATTATTTCGGCATACTCGGGAGCGTCTCCACGGATTTGTGGGGCAGCGACGGCGACGGCGACCAGGCAGGCGAAGACGACCTGAAGGTGCAGGAACAACAAAGTGACTCAAAGCGCCATCTAAAGCAAGCACGCACGCACACACACACACACACACACACACACACACACACACACACACACACACACACACACACACACACACACACACACACACACACACACGGAACAAAAACTCTGTCAAGAGTAAGAATTAAAAGAGGGAAGGTTTAACAGTGAGATCAAGAGGTCATGGATGTTGTCTTCATATTTTTATCCTGACTCCTGATAACTGATTATTGTATTATTCCAAGACCACCGGGTAAAGCTATGTAACCAAGAGGACTGCAGTGTTAAAGCTATATAACCAAGAGGAACACAGGGTTAAAGCTATATAACCAAGAGGAACACAGGGTTAAAGCTATGTAACCAAGAGGACTACAGGGTTAAAGCTATGTAACCAAGAGGACCACGTGGTTAAAGCTATGTAACCAAGAGGAACACAGGGTTAAAGCTATATAACCAAGTGCAACACATGGTTAAAGCTATATAACCAAGGGGACCACATGGTTAAAGCTATGTAACCAAGAGGACCACATGGTTAAAGCTATGTAACCAAGAGGAACACAGGGTTAAAGCTATATAACCAAGTGCAACACATGGTTAAAGCTATATAACCAAGGGAACCACATGGTTAAAGCTATGTAACCAAGAGGACCACATGGTTAAAGCTATGTAACCAAGTGCAACACATGGTTAAAGCTATGTAACCAAGAGGACCACATGGTTAAAGCTATATAACCAAGTGCAACACATGGTTAAAGCTATATAACCAAGGGGACCACATGGTTAAAGCTATATAACCAAGTGCAACACATGGTTAAAGCTATATAACCACGGGGACCACATGGTTAAAGCTATGTAACCAAGAGGACCACATGGTTAAAGCTATATAACCAAGTGCAACACATGGTTAAAGCTATATAACCAAGGGGACCACATGGTTAAAGCTATATAACCAAGTGCAACACATGGTTAAAGCTATATAACCAAGGGGACCACATGGTTAAAGCTATGTAACCAAGAGGACCACATGGTTAAAGCTATATAACCAAGGGGACCACATGGTTAAAGCTATATAACCAAGTGCAACACATGGTTAAAGCTATATAACCAAGGGGACCACATGGTTAAAGCTATGTAACCAAGAGGACCACATGGTTAAAGCTATACAACCAAAAAGATCCCAACGAGTGAACTAAACTGACAGTAAACACGAAAGTGAAGAGACTAAAAAGTGTTCTTCTTAGATATAATTTTTTTTAAATATCTTAAGACGTTGAGGAAAAATTACCATAAGATTAAATAAAGAATAATGAACAGGAAGTCACTTAACTCTTGTGTGGATGATAGTTTAACCCTTTGAGTATAATGGTTTAACCCTTTGAGGATGATAAGTTTAACCCTTTGAGGATATTTTAACCCTTTGAGTATAATAGTTTAACCCATTGAGTATGATAGCTTAACCCTTTGAGGATATTTTAACCCTTTGAGTATGATAGCTTAACCCTTTGAGGATATTTTAACCCTTTGAGTATAATAGTTTAACCCTTTGAGTATGATAGCTTAACCCTTTGATGAGAATTACAGCTTAAGTTATCATCCTCAAAGGGTATTAGTTAAGACCATCATCCTCATGGGTTCAAGAAACACACAGGAATCCCTCAAATATCACCTTAATATATACACAGTTGGCTAAGAGTTGTACTGATGCTCTGACAACACACAAACTAATCCATGATATCTATACACAAATTGATTGATATGATACAAGACCTTAACCACAACTTAAACTTCAGGCAATGTGTATACCAGTGTATACTCATACAAGAGACAGAGACCCGTCCTTCCTGTGTTTACAAGTATACACACTCAAGTATTATACAAGGCCTCTATTATCCTCCATTGATAATGTTAGTTGTGGCTCTTAGTTACGTTACATCCATGATCGTGTTCCTGTGAGCTGAAGTTGTAACACTGTCAGAGAGGATGCTTGTACTCACCAGCTTCATGTTGACTGAGTGGGACTGGGTCTGGGAGGGTGTTAAGGAGAAAGGTGGAAGAAGAAGATTGCACGTCCTGAGAGTGGAGGACTCGGCTTATATACACCCCGGCGCGCAGGATCTCACCACCTCCTTTCACGGGGATTTCTTGTGGCTTCGGGGGCAAGCCAAGGTCGACCCCCTTGTGCATTCCTCAAGCACCAGGTTAGATGTGGGCAGATGGGTGGGTAGGTGGGTGGGTGGGTGGGCGCTCGGGCGGGCGGACGAATGGGCGGGAGGGGGACCTGGAGTTAAAACACTTAGTGCCCTTATGGAGACGGGTTACATGATGACCAGGAGAAAAATATGAAGTATTTTATTATTTCTAGATTCTCTTTTAACACACATACACACACACACATACACACACACACACACACACACACACACACACACACAAACACACACCTACCTTATTAAATATGACAAACACGAATTCACATCCCGTTTAAGAGCGTCACAGTACAAGATCTTCCCAACCTGTATTAATGACGATAATCTTTAAATCTTCAAGTTCCATCTCCGACTTAGCGAATACAATTTTAGGTCGTGTTTAAAGGAAAATCCCTATCATATTGGATCTCCTTTAAAAAAAGTCAAGTCCGTAATTAGGTTTCCTTTAAAAAACTCGATCCTATTGAGAGCCCCTTTAAATGCCACGTTTATATCAGCTTCCCTTTAAAAGTCCAGATATATAGTTTTTTATTTCTCTTAAAATTACAAGATTTGTTTGGACTTCGTTGGGAGACAAGATTAAAAAAAACTATCAAGTTCTTTTAGGTCATCATAGGTCAAGACCCGGTGTTAGGTCTCCTCAAAAGTCAGGGTATATTTAGGTCATCCATAAATGGCAGTGAACGCATTTAGGTCTCGTTCAACTGGTCTGTACAGTGAGAAGGTTACAGGTCACATGAGCCCCAGCCCTAGTGGGCCCTAGTTTTACCGGGTCCCAGTCCTTATGGGCCCAAGTTCTCCCGGGTTCCAGTCCTAGTGAGCTCCAGTTCTACTGGGCCCCAGTTCTAGTGGCCCCAGTTCTACTGGGTCTCAGCTCTACCGGGTCTCAGTCCCAGTAGCTGCCACTCCTAACGGGCTGCGGTCCTATTGGGCCCTACTCCTAGAGGGCTCCAGTCATAGTGGACTTTATTCCTAGTGGCCCCCACTTCTAATGGTCTCCAGTCCTATTGGGCCCCAGTCCTAGAGGGCCATACTCCTAGAGAGCCTCACTCTTAGTGGGCTCAACTCCTAACAGGCCCCACTCCTATAGATCCACCCTACTAATGGGCCCCACTCTTAGAGATCCACCCTACTAATGGGCCCCACTCTTAGAGATCCACCCTACTAATGGGCCCCACTCTTAGAGATCCACCCTACTAATGGGCCCCACTCTTAGAGATCCACCCTACTAATGGGCCCCACTCTAGAGATCCACCCCACTAATGGGCCCCACTTAGAGATCCATCCTACCACACGGGCCCCACCCAAGAGATCCAATTCCTACCACGTCCCACCTCTAGGATCCACCCCAATAATGGCCCACCTTAGAGATCCACCGTACCAATGGGTCCCACTCCCAGAGATCCACCCTACCAATGTGTGGGTCCCACTCCTAGAGATCCACCCTACCACGGGCCCCACTCTTAGATCCACCTGTACCACGGGTCCCACCCAGAGATCCACACTCCTACTAATGGGCCCCACTCTTAGAGATCCAACTACTAATGGGCCCCACTTCAGAGATCCACCCTACTAATGGGTCCCACTCCCAGAGATCCACCCAACCACGGGCCCCACTCCTGAGATCCACTCCTACTAATGGGCCCCACTCCTATAGATCCACCCTACTAATGGGGGCCCCACTCCTAGAGATCCACCTCCCACACCGGGCCCCACTCCTGAGATCCACTCCCACACGGCCCCACTCTAGAGATCCACCCTACTAATGGGCCCCACTTAGAGATCCATCCTACTAATGGGCCCCACTCTTAGAGATCCATTCTACTAATGGGCCCCACTCCTAGAGATCCACCCTACTAATGGGCCCCACTCCAAGAGATCCACTCCTACCACGTGGGCCCCACTCCTATAGAGATCCACCCCTACTAATGGGCCCCACTTCTAGAGATCCACCCTACCAATGGGCCCTCCCCACTCCAAGAGATCCACCCTACTAATGGGCCCCACCCTAGAGATCCACTTCTAATGGGCCCCACTCCTCCACTCCTAGAGATCCACCCTACTAATGGGCCCCACTCTTAGAGATCCACCCTACTAATGGGCCCCACTCTTAGAGATCCATCCTACTAATGGGCCCCACTCTTAGAGATCCATCCTACTAATGGGCCCCACTCCTATAGATCCACCCTACTAATGGGCCCCACTCTTAGAGATCCACCCGACTAATGGGCCCTACTCCTATTGGCTCTGCTTAGACCTATCCAGCCATTAAGATTAAGAGCCATTAGTTATTAAGCTCCTGGGGATTAGAGTATCCATCCAAATACACGGGTGAGATTAGGCTGGGGCTTACTGGGGGCTGGTAGGAGTGAGGTCTAGTGAGAGAGGGAGAGGAAAGAAAGAGATAAGAAGACAAAAGAAGAAAGAGAATGGACGAAGAACAAAAACGATATGATCAAACATAGAGAGAGAGAGAGAGAGAGAGAGAGAGAGAGAGAAAAATCCTATCAGAATACAAACACACTACATCACGTTAATCCATTGTTTATTGAACTTTTAATTGACAGAAAAGAAAAAACATTCATATATCTTTTTTACTTTTCATTTCCTTCAACAAAATTCTCTCCTCTAGTCATAAATTTATACATTATAAAGAAGTACATATATTAGGGAATGTATGATGGATATAGTGTATATGATTATGTATTTATATATTAATGGTATTCCTACACCAACATAATTTAATGAAGGTGAACTGCTAGGTAAGATCCTGGTGCCCCTTTCGTTTAGTAAAGAGTTTGAGATGTTTTACTATTATTATTATTATTATTATTATTATTATTATTATCATTATCATTATCATTATCATTATTATTATTATTATTATTATTATTAAAGTAGTAGTGGTAGTATCTGCATTTTTTATCATTATCACCATTATTAATATCATAATTAATTTTTATTTAACCTTTTTGTCACATTTATTTACAAGAAAATCATTCAAGTGTTACTTTGGTATAGAAGACAAAATTCCCTTTCGGTTTATCGCCTGATGAGCGATAAAAGATCACGAAAAGAAGAAGAAATAGTGAAGATGAAGAACACGAAAAAGAACAAAGAAAAGAAGAGATAGAAAAATTACTACCATAAATACACTCTTAAATATATACCAATATGTTAAAAAAAATATATGAAAAAAAAATATATTCAGACAAAAGACTTAAGAACTAGCTTGAGATATAATAAACATTAGTGTATATATCACAGTCTCTAGACACAGAGGAGAAAGTACCCTCTTGGCCAACGTTTAAGACCAGTTTGGTTTTCTTTCTAATCACTTGTATACGACGTGTGTCAAACCGGTTTAGACTTGTGTGAGAAACTAGTTTGAGGACATTGAAAAAAAAGAAAAGAATCATAAGTAGTAAAAGTTTATAATGACTTTCTTTATTAATATAGATTTTAATTATTGTGTTAGTGTGATGCTTAAAAAATTCATATTTATTTCACTGACTTATCTAAACTAATGTATATACAACTAATAATAATAATAGTAATAATAATCATGTGTATTCAGTTAGAGTTGCCATACAGGTTTACAATTGGATAAGCATATTTATTAGGATATGCAATTATTCGTCTTGTGTAGGTATACTGTGCAGGTAGGCAGGCCAAGAGAGTATACTGACTCCTGTGTACCGAGACAGCAATAGTAGAGAGGAAAGCATTCTAAAAAAAACTCTTCTTCTTTCAAATATTAAACGAGATTAATTACATCTTAAACCAATGTAGGATTCAATTAAACCATTTTGTATATGTCTGTTTTATTGTCTTTATAAACAAACCAGGTATTATATATTTCCCATCATATTTTATCGACTGTTAAACCTTTCTTAATACATTATAATGAACTCACGTGTTCATTAAGTGACTAACTGTACATTACCTCTGTCTTAAGCCACATTATTATTATTATTATTATTATTATTATTATTATTATTATTATTATTATTATTATTATTATTATTATTATTATTATTATTATTATTATTATTGTTGTTGTATGTTTACCTACGACACCTCACTCCTCAAGGAACTATTTCTCAACCAGCGTGAGTTCTTCTAGTAAGCACCTTGACGTGATATTTACCTCCCCCCCTCCCCTCACTGTCTGTCTGTCTGTCTGTTTCTCTGTTTCTCTTCTTAACAGGTGTGTAGGTAGTTTATGTTGGTGCTTAACAGGTGTGTAGGTGGTTTATGTTGGTGGTGCTTAACAGGTGTGTAGGTGGTTTATGTTGGTGGTGCTTAACAGGTGTGTAGGTGGTTTATGTTGGTGCTTGCAACAGGTGTGTAGGTGGTTTATGTTGGTGCTTAACAGGTGTGTAGGTGGTTTATGTTGGTGGTGCTTAACAGGTGTGTGGGTAGTTTATGTTGGTGGTGCTTAACAGGTGTGTAGGTGGTTTATGTTGGTGCTTAACAGGTGTGTAGGTGGTTTATGTTGGTGCTTCTTAACAGGTATGTGGGTGGTTTATGTTGGTGCCTAACAGGTGTGTTTGTGGTTTATGTTGGTGCTTAACAGGTGTGTAGGTGGTTTATGTTGGTGCTTAACAGGTGTGTAGGTGGTTTATGTTGGTGCTTGTTAACAGGTGTGTAGGTGGTTTATGTTAGTGCTTGTTAACAGGTGTGTAAGTGGTTTACGTTGGTGCTTCTTAACAGGTGTGTAGGTGGTTTATGTTGGTGCTTAACAGGTGTGTAGGTTAATCTTGGTGTAAGTTTGTATCACTAATTGAGTTAACGTTTTCATATCAATTCTCATTTCAGTCATATTTGACAGGTGTTTAATTCCGTGATTCACCTGCAATTGTTTTTACACTTAAACCTGTTGTTGTTGTTGTTGTTTAGTGTTATAGTTATTGTTGTTGTAATTTATATACTGCCTCAGTGGCCAAGGTCTAAAAGGACCGGTCACTCCGTCTTATTTTCAACACGAAATAGAAAGATAGAGACAAGCAGAGAGAGAGAGAGAGAGAGAGAGAGAGAGAGAGAGAGAGAGAGAGAGAGAGAGAGAGAGAAACCATATCTTGCATCCATTAAAAACATATAAAGTAATAATATCAAAACAAACCTCAAAATGATAATTAGTCAACACATATTTGCTCGACATTTTATTGGTCGGTTTGCTCATGACTTAGTTGTGAAATAACAGCGAAACAGTTCATGACATGATCGTCTTATGCTAAATAATTACTGCTCAGTAAAGAACGTTCTTTTGAGAGAGAAGTCAACCAGGAGTATACAGATGTATTGGCTTTAGGAAGCTAAGAATGTATTATGAAGCGGCCTTGTTTGACTAAAGAATGCATTAACAATCTACCCTAAATCATCTTCAGAATCTATCAGTCTTCAATAAGCCTCAAGATTGTGACCCCGAAACATTTTTTCTTGCTGTGGCCATCTTCAATATACATTCACAGTCCTGCGAGGGTTCGTCACTTAGAATCAGCCAGTCACTCTCTTGCCCTGCTCGTCGAAGGTGATGCCCTGACGGCGCTGTTCGGCAGCGATGGCCAGCAGCTCAGGGACGTGGGCGGGCAGTGGGTGGCTGGTAGGGAAGATGGGTGATTCAGGGACGAAGCCCCTCTCGTCGGCTGTGTAGGTGACCTCGACCCGTGTACCGTCATCGAGCGTGAATCTGAGGGAAAACAAGAGAACATTTTCCTGAATTGGTGATTTCTCAACAATTTGTATAAAAACAAATAATTTCTGCCTACACCTGCTCCTTTGAGTGACCTGTTAAATGAATACAAACAATTATTTAAGGGGGGGGGGTGCATAAAGGCAGACATAAGGATGAGTTTACGATCTTGGACATCTATTATTCTTTTTTTTCTTTTTTTAACCTATAGTTCTATGTGACAACGAAAAGGTCATAATGTATGTATGTGACAACGACTATAATATTCAATATCATCTAAGGTGTAAAACTAAGTTCAGCAAGTGAACCTTCTCACCTGTAGGAGCCCTGCACGTTGGCCTGGCCGACGTTGCCGGGGCGGCCTTCAGCATTCACGGAGATGCCGTTCTCGGTCTCGAACTCATACCTGTAGTTGCCTTCACCGTCGTCGTGACGGTTGTCTCTCAGGACAGCAATGTGTCGTGGGTCATCCTCCGGGAACTGAGGGGCGGCGACGGCGACAGCGGCCAGGCAGGCGAGGACGACCTGGGGGAGGAAGTAAAACAAGAGTTAAGGGTAAAGGAAGGTGGAGACTGAAGCAGGTTATCCTTGGACTCTAATCCGGGACGCCGTCTGGAGAAATGGAAACTGAAAGTGATGATTTAAATTCTCTGAAGGAGGTTGAGAGCGTGTCACCCTTCTGCTTCCTCGCTACTAGGTGGTCAAGTTCTTCACTCTCTTAACTGCTCTATCAATCTTTCTATCTTTCTGTCTCCTTCCACCAGAGTCGTCAAGGTAGAGTCATCTTGAGGTACAGCTATTCATCCTCAGTAGTCATCTAATTTCGCTGTTTCATGGAACATTAAATTCAGTATTCTGATAACTGTGTTCTTGAGTCTCACCAACAAGCTTTGTCTTCTGGTCCACTTGTCACTATACACTCACTTCTAATGACTCTGAACTCGGCCATATTAGCTTAACCTTCACTACCATAAGTTTTCTCCTTGTTACACTCCAACAGAAGACTTCATCGTCAGTGGTAATCATCTTGTGTCTACGTGTAGGTTTAACACCAACCAATATTCCGTCAGTGCCAGAACGAGTCACTTGCTCCCGTCCCTAAGAACTACCACCACCGGAACCACAATTCTATACGCCTCCAGCTAATACTACTATTACCACTACTACTACCACAATTATTACTAGTACGTCAATGTCTGCATAAGTACTCACGAGCTTCATGTTGACTCTGTGAGGACGAAGAAGAGTATGTGGTTTGGTGAGGAGGAGACACGCTATATATACACACACTCACACCCCTGCAACAAGAGCAGATCACCTTCAGCATAGCTTTTCTTGTGGGCCGTTGGGACACGGCAAGGCTGTCTGGTACACATTCCTGGATGAGGATGGGAAGGAGGATGAAGGAAGAGGGGGAGGAGGAGGAGGAGCTTCTGCTGTTCCTGTGGGCAGGGCGTCAGACCCGTCTCTCCTCACTTGTAAACAAAGGCGCCTAATGCACGTTGATAAATGATGCGTTGGTGTGACCGGACACATGTGAGGCTGTGACACGAGTCTCCATTATCTGAGATGTACGATGTGATTCTTGTTTTAGCTAATCTCTCTATATAACACACACACACATACACACACACACTCACACACACACACACACACACACACACACACACATGTATACAGTAAATAAACTGGTCGTAACTGCGAGAGAAGGTATTTTTTCGTGTTTCTGTCCGTGTGTTTGTCTCCAAAGAAACTCGATAAATTATTTGTCGATTGACACCAAACTTGGCCGGGTTGATCAACTCGGTGAAAAGATCCACATGATAACATTTGGGTGTAAATCGTACCCAAATTAGCCAAGTTATTGCCAAGGAACGGTTCGTGTGGTGATTACATATTAACTTAGTTGAACTTACACCATTGGTTGAATATTAATCCTGCCATGATACCTACTCGCGGGCACGATTTTAATTTATTATAAGATCTTTGCTTAAGTATCAAACACAGTCATCAACTGAGACTTGCCCAACAGAAGGGATACAGTACAATAAGTTGACCCCAGAGGTATAAAGCATCTCTCATAATAACACACCTGCATGACACCACCAGCTAATATATGATGAAACATTTTTAAGTCTTTTCAGGTGTAGGACGAATTCATTAGTCATGGCTTCTTCTTACTTTTAGGAGAGAGAGAGAGAGAGAGAGAGAGAGAGAGAGAGAGAGAGAGAGGGAGAGAGGACACTGGGCAGTCACGTCTATCTAAAATTCGTGAGCTAAGATCAAATTCTTTAATCCTTTTGCCAACTTATAAATAAAGTAGTTTTAAAGCAATGATGAGACGGACTGTTCCCTCACGTCTGACTAGATTAAACAAAAATACATATTTCCAAATATTTGAAAATATTGTGAATATTTCAAATTTTCTTCTGTTTTCACTATAATTTCTTTAACTACCGCCACCACCACGAACACTATTACTACTACGGATGATGATGATATTAATAACACCAACAATTAAAACAACAAAAACATTATAATCAACAAAAACATTAAAAACAACAACACAATTACCACAACTTTCGCGATCATAACCATAACTCAAAACAAAAACCCTTCACACACACACACACACACACACTCACTCACTTCCTCCTCCACACACACACACACACACACACACACACACACACACACACACACACACACACACACACACACTCACCTCACACACACACACACACACACACACACACACACACACACACACACACACACACACACAAGGCTACAGAGCGTGTCAAGTAACGGGGGAAACGGTGGGTGTAGGTCGAGGGGTGGGCGAGGGTGGCGGTGGGTCTGGGTCAGGCTTGAGGGTTGGGCGTGAAGGTAGGCTGTAGTGGTGGGGGGGGCGAGTCTCGTCTACAAAGTGGTTCCTGTGGCATTAGGAGAGAGGGATGGAGGAAGGAGCGTGGGAAGGGAGGAAAAGGAGAAGGGAGAGAAGGATAAGGAGGAGGAGAAGGATGTGGATAAGAGGGGGGAATGGGAGAAGAAAGAGGGACGGAGGCAGGGGAAGGAAGGAAGTAGGGAGGTAGAGGTGAAGGGAGGGAAGGAATGGAAGGATATGGAAAAGAGGAAGAACGGGAGAAAAGGAAGGAAGGTATGATGAAAGGGAGGGAAGGAAAGAAGTAAGGAAAAGAAGGATGGAAGGAAGGGAAGGAATTAGACAAGGGAAGGCAAAGAAGGAGGGAGTGAAGGAAGGAGGGAGGAAAGGAGGGAGGGAGGATGCAGGTGTGTCCAGATAAGAGACTCGGTTTGGGGACCAGTTTTTGCTCCAGTGATTGAAAGTGAAGAGTAGTTTCGAGGCTCAACATTATAAGCGACCCCTTCCTTCCTTCCTTCCTTCCTTCCTTCCTTCCTTCCTTCCTTCCTTCCTTCCTTCCTTCCTTCCTTCACTCATTCATTATCCTTCCTTCCTTCCTTCCATTATTACTGCTATGTGGTGACGGAGGTACAGGTGTGTGGTGACGGAAGTACAGGTGTGTGGTGATGGTGGTACAGGTGTGTGGTGATGGTAAGTACAGGTGTGTTGTGATAACAGGTGTGTGGTGATAACAGGTGTGTGGTGATGACAGGTGTGTGGTAATGACAGGTGTGTGGCTATGACAGGTGTGTGGTGATGAAAGTAGAGGTGTGTGGTGTTGGCCTCTGTATCTACCGTGGCAAATGAATATGTCGTGTTCTCATCCCAAGGTGTCGGGGCTCAAACCAGATACCACAAGGGTAGGCATCAAGGTACTGCCCACTGACCATGGTGTGGTGTTTTGTAAGATGGAAAGTAGAAAATTAAGAAACGGATTTTGTCTTTATTTTTTTTTATTTAACATTTTCCTGTTTTCTTTCATATCTGTTTGTGTTAATTTGTTTATACATACATACATACATACATACATACATACATACAAACTCACAATATGCAAAAATATACTCACCTCGCACACACACGCGGGGAAAAAAATATATATGCAAAACTTCAGAGATTTTACATGACAAATAAATCCTGTTTTTGTTCAAGAATACAATCCATTTTAATATACCAACTCTTTCTTATCTCCCTCCATCAAGGCCTGAAGCCACAGAGGATCATAAGAGGAGTGTCTGTTTGTAACTGGTAAACGTTAGATAAACCTTATATCATACAGCGTAAAGAAATGGCGTCCATATTGCACTGAGACCTTACCTTAACATCAGGTATAAAGTAAGAATGTGTGCTTTAAGTGATCTTGTATGTTAGTTTTGTCTCTTAATTAGTACTAAGTGAATGTGTTTAGTTAATGTGAAATCTTAGTTAAATTCTGATGCCATATTTGTTATTTTTGTGTTTTAGGTGAAGGTATAGTTTTTAACATCAGGAATTGTTAGAATGATGACCCAGGTTGTAGCATAACAGTAAGTGTTGACCCATCATGGTAAGACAACGACTCCTTGTCTAAACCAGCTGAGAGATCTTACCTAAATCTTGCCTCATAATTAGATTTAAACCGGGATCCTGTCCCAGGTAGAGTCTTAAACCTGTTTATTTACCATTTACACCATGGATAAATGTGTCTCTTATCCATTCATGCTTGAGTAATATTCCTAATATTAAGATACTGATTCCTGTACATCTATACTTTATTAATATAGCTTCTGTCTATTCTATATTTGTAATATATGTTTGTTTATAGTTTAAAAATCCTGAAATCCTGACCCATATATACCCCTCAAGGTTATGTTAAATATTAAAATAACACTTAATCCGGGTACCAGCTCTTTAAAATAATATCTAATCCGGGTACCAGATCTTTAAAATAACACCTAATCCGGGTACCAGATCCTTAAAATAACACCTAATCCGGGTACCAGATCTTTAAAATAACACCTAATCAGGGTACCAGCTCTTTAAAATAACACCTAATCCGGGTACCACATCTTTAAAATAACACCTAATCCGGGTACCAGCTCTTTAAAATAACACCTAATCCGGGTACCAGCTCTTTAAAATAACACCTAATCTGGGTACCAGATCTTTAAAATAACATCTAATCCGGGTACCAGCTCTTTAAAATAACACCTAATCCGGGTACCAGCTCTTTAAAATAACACCTAATCCGGGTACCAGATCTTTTCTCTGTTTCCTGAAGATGTAATAAAAGATATTAGTTTACCACAGTAAGTCTCAGGGACGGCCATTAATCGTCGTACATCTGGAGGACACAGGTAAACAGATTGCCATCACGGTGTCGTCTGTTACCACACATGTTGTCGTTTATCATCTACCCTGTCGTCGCCCTTGTTCAAACTTAATAATTGATTACATTTTTTTTTTGCCGTTACTACTTTCCATTCTCTCGTTCCTTGATTCTGACGTTGGGAAATAATATAGATAAGACAGACAGGCAGACAGACAGGCAGACAGACAGACAGACAGACAGACAGACAGAAATAAAAAAAGGTTTGAAAAATAAATAGATAAAATTAACCTAAAAAAATACAAATAAATCGGAAATAAACGGATATCAAGGCTGACAAAGAGACTGACAGAGAGACTGACAGACAGAAAATATTATAAGAATTACATACATTAAGTTTTCCCTCAAAGATATTCAGTTATGAGTCATGATGGCAGCTCACGACTCTCTTCCTCAGCAGTTTACCAGGCAGGAAAAAGTGGTGTCTCTTGTGTGTTGAGTATACTGTGTGTTGAGTATACTGTGTGTAGAGTATATTGAGTGTTGAGTATACTGTGTGTTGAGTATACTGTGTGTTGAGAATACTGTGTTAGGTATACTGTGTGTTGAGTATTCTGTGTGTTGAGTATACTGTGTTCGGTATACTGTGTGTTGAGTATACTGTGTGTTGAGTATACTGAGTGTTGAGTATACTGTGTGTTGAGTAAACTGTGTGTTGAGTAAACTGTGTGTTGAGTATACTGAGTGTTGAGTATACTGTGTGTTGAGTAAACTGTGTGTTGAGTAAACTGTGTGTTGAGTATACTGAGTGTTGAGTATATTGAGTGTTGAGTATACTGTGTGTTGAGTATACTGTGTGTAGAGTATATTGAGTGTTGAGTATACTGTGTGTTGAGTATACTGAGTGTTGAGTATACTGTGTGTTGAGTATACTGTGTTAGTGTACTGTGTTGAGTATGCTGTGTGTTGGTGCTGTGTGTTGAGTATACTGGGTGTTGAGTATACTGTGTTGAGTATACTGAGTGTTGGAAGTATACTGAGTGTTAGTGTACTGGTGTTGAGTATACTGTGTGTTGAGGTATACTGTGTGTTAGTGTACTGAGTGTTGAGTATACTGAGTGTTGATATATTGGTGTTAATTATACTGTATGTTGAAATTATAAGTGTTGTAGGTGTACTGTGTGTTGGTGTCTGTGTGTTGGAGTATACTGGTGTTGGGTGTACTGTGTGTGTTGGAGTGTCACTGTGTTGGTGCTCTGTGTTGGGTATACTGTGTTGAGTATATACTGTGTGTTGGTATACTGTATTGGGTATACTGTGGGTTAGATATGCTGTGTTTAGAATACTGTGTTGGTATACTGGGTTGGAGTATACTGTGCGTTGAGTATACTGTGTGTTGAGAATGCTGTGTGTTGGGAATACTGTGCACGTTAATTATACTGTGTGCTGAGTATACTGGGTTGGAGTATGCTGTGCGTTGAGTATGCTATTGTGCTGAGAATACTGTGTGTTGAGTATACTGTGTTAGGTATACTGTGTGTTGAGTATACTGTGTGTTGAGTATACTGTGTTAGGTATACTGTGAGTTGAGTATACTGTGTGTTGAGAATACTGTGTGTTGAGTATACTGTGTGTTGAGTATACTGTGTTAGGTATACTGTGTGTTGAGAATACTGTGTGTTGAGTATACTGTGTGTTGAGTATACTGGGTTAGGTATACTGTGTGTTGAGTATACTGGGTTAGGTATACTGTGCGTTGAGTATACTGTGTGTTGAGTATACTGGGTTAGGTATACTGTGTGTTGAGTATACTGGGTTAGGTATACTGTGCGTTGAGTATACTGTGTGTTGAGTATACTGGGTTAGGTATACTGTGCGTTGAGTATACTGTGTGTTGCGTATACTGTGTGTTGAGTATACTAGGTTAGGTATACTGTGCGTTGAGTATACTGTGTGTTGAGTATACTGTGTGTTGAGTATACTAGGTTAGGTATACTGTGCGTTGAGTATACTGTGTGTTGAGTATACTGGGTTAGGTATACTGTGTGTTGAGAATACTGTGTGTTGAGTATACTGTGTGTTGAGTATACTGGGTTAGGTATACTGTGTGTTGAGTATACTGTGTTTTGAGTATACTATGTTTTAAGTATACTATGTGTTGAATATACTGTGTGTTGAGTGTACTGTGTGTTGAGTATACTGTGTGTTGAGTATACTATGTTTTAAGTATACTATGTGTTGAATATACTGTGTGTTGAGTATACTGTGTTGAGTATACTGTGTGTGTTGAGTATACTGACATGAGTGAGAAAGCCCTAACTTAAACCAGGTTCTTGGACTAATGGGCCCCAGTCCTGATAGAACCTAACCTGACCTCACCTAACTAACCTGACCTCACCTAACTAACCTGACCTCACCTAACTAACCTGACCTCACCTAACTAACCTGACCTCACCTAACTAACCTGACCTCACCTAACTAACCAACCCTAATATAACGCTGTTGCAAGTTAGAAGAACCCAAGTCCTAAATAGGCCCCAGCTTGGCCTAATTTGACCATTATGACTGGGGCCCATTATGACTGGGGCCCATTATGACTGGGGCCCATTATGACTGGGGCCCATTATGACTGGGGCCCATTATGACTGGAGCCCATTATGACTGGGGCCCATTGTGACTGGGGCCCATTGTGACTGGGGCCCATTGTGATTGGGGCCTATGACTGGGGCCCATTATGACTGGGGCCCATTATGTGATTATGACTGGGGCCCATTATGACTGGGGCCCATTATGACTGGGGCCCATTGTGACTGGAGCCCATTATGACTGGGGCCCATTGTGACTGGGGCCCATTGTGACTGGGGCCCATTGTGATTGGGGCCTATTGTGACTGGGGCCCATTGTGACTGGGGCCCAGTATGACTGTGGCCCATTATGACTGGGGCCTATTATGTCTGGGGCCCATTATGACAGGGGCCTATTATGATTGGGGTCCATTAGAATCGGCTCCACTGAAATGGGAGCCCGTTTGAACTGATATGTATTTGGCTCCTTGAATTGAAAGCCAGTTTCTAATAAGGTTTGGTTAGGTTAGGTCAGGTCAGGTCAGGTCAATTTAAGGTTAGGTCAATTTAAGGTTAGGTTAGATTAGGTTAGGTCAGGTCAGGTCATTTTAAGGTAGTATAGGTTAGGTTATATTTTACGGGCATTATCCCACCCGGGCACAGGTAATTTTTAATGACCCACATCAAGACCTGGAGGGCGAAAATATAATAAATTAATAATAATAAATAATAATAATAATAATAATAATAATAATAATAATAATAATAATAATAATAATAATAATAATAATAAAAAATAACAATTACAATAGAAATACTGTTAATACTAATAAAAATTATAAATAATACTAATAATACTAATAATAAAGATCCATAAATAAAAATAAATACTAAATAAAAATAAACCAAGAATGATAAACGCTATATGTATGTTGTGTTGTCAATAGTAAGAGAAACAATTGAGACCCTGCAATTGTGTGTAAATGAGGCAGAAAGTCAGATCAGCAACCTGGGACTTGGTCACAATTTTCGTGATGCCATATGGCAGCAGGGTCTACCATTAGACAACACATTATGCTGCCAATAATCCTCCCAGGTGGTAGTACCTCCCTGTTTGGTAACTACTACCTAGGTTAGGTAGGTCAGGTTAGGCTAGTTAAGGTTAAACTAGCTTAGAGTAGGTTTGGCTTAGGTTAGGTTAGGTTAGGCTGGCTTGGGTAAGGTTATATTAAGCTAGATTAGGATAGCTTAACTTACGTTAGTTTAGGTTAATTTAGGCTAGGTCAGGTTGTGTTATGTTAATTTGAGATTGGTTAGGTTAGTATGAAATAAAATAAAACATGAAATAAAAAAGACTGTAGGTTAATTAAAAATATTAGTATCAAACACATATATTTATTTAACACAGGTAAGTTAAAAGAGGAAGTTGAAGGGTCACTTGTAATTGTTTTTACCTCGACTTCAATGTCTCTCAAATAATTGTTTCCTTCCGTCTATTTTTGGTTTATCTATCAAAAGAGATACAAACAAACACACGAGAGAAAGTTAAAATTCATAGTCTTTGTTTGGTGTTTTTGCTGTAGTTGTGTAATAAGAATATTAGATTTTTTTTGAGCAGTAGAGGATAAATATAATGAAGGATAAATAATAAATAATAATAATGACCAAAAAATATATTGCATGCTATTTATTACAAAAGCATCACAAAAGCATAGGATTTCGTCGTTCAAGGAGAGTTCGAGGCATGCCAGTTTTATACCCCCGGAGTCTGTGATCTTCTCAGTGTACAGACAGGTGGTGATGGTCGGTGGTGAAGAAACATGGAGAGAATCCTACTGTCACGGTGTGCCAAGGGAGGTCATTAGGGTGTAGTTTGACCTAGGAAATGCCATGCTCAGTCCTGGAGGCGTTTTGAGGATCTTGAGATGATAGGATGTTTTAGGATGGTATTTTTTTTGGTATCTTGGTTGGCGTGGTAGGATGTTTTAGAGGTCCCCCAGTGCCTACCGTGGGACCAGGGAGGTGTCCTGAAGATTATAATAATGTATGTAAGAGGATTGCGAGGTGTGGATAGACCAAGGATGTTCAGAGTTCAGATGTCGTGAGTAATCCAAACGGAAGAGTCTCTAGAACGGCCTTCCGCGACCAGCAGCTGCACGGCCTTGTTGGGACTGGGCAAAGGCGATCTGCTCGATGGCATGGGCAGGGAGGGGGTGGGGGGTGGGGATGAGGGGGGACTCGGCACGGTAACCCTGCTCGTCGGCGACAAATCGAACGTCAGCCCGAGTACCGTCAGGAAGAATGAATCTGAGTGGAGAAAAAAAAATAGATTTATCAATACAAGTGAAATTTCCAACAAGTCAGACAATAACGGATACATTAAAACAACATATAATAAACCACATATGTTGGGTCAAATATGCTGAAACAACTATTTTTTTTAAGCAAAGTATAAGATAATGTGATTGCCTTTCACCGCGGTATTCTGTTACGACTCTGACGAAACCCAACTCTTATGTTTATGACTGAAATTATGTATTTTCAGCAAAATTTCTTTGAATGTATGAAAACCGATTTTTCCTGTGACAACATTAGCGAACTGTGCCGTTAAGGATTATGGTTTAATATATAACCATTTGAGGATGATGGTTTAATATGTGTACAGTATATATTAACCATCGTCCTCAAAAGGTTATAGATTATCGTCCTCAAAAGGTTATAGATTATCGTCCTCAAAATGTTATTAAAACAATGTCCTCAAAAGGTTATGTCCTTTCATTCAAGATTTTGTCGTTGCCTTCACTAAGAGATTCATATAAAAATATTAACACAAAAGTAGAAATGACTGGAAACCCAAACTACAGAAGAACATCCTGACGTATTAACTATTGACGAAGATATTAGTAATCGACATCAACACACAGGTACCAGGGCCAGGAGACTCACCTGAAGGTTCCCTCTATGTTACTCTGTCCCTTTGACCCGGGGCGTCCCACCACTTTACTGTAAATGTCGTTCTCGGTCTCGAACTCGTAGTTGAAGTTGCCGTCACCGTTGTCCTCTCTTACGTCCTTCAGTATCTCATAGTGGTGAGGGTTCTGGAACTGAGGTTTGGCGAGGGCTAGGGCGGCGAGGCAGGCGAAGATAACCTGAAGGTAGAAACGAGGGTAAGATACTGTTACAGGAAGATGGTGTGTGTGTGTGTGTGTGGTATTGAGGAACAGGTAGTGAGACCTTCATTATAACTGTGTTGAATCTTCCCTTTTATCACTACCTTGATGTTGGAACCTCTACTCTATAGATCCTCTCCAACAAGTGGTTTATGGGTGTTGGCAGCGGTTCTAACCCTCTATACTGCTCTGACCTCAAACAGTCTATATACTTAATACTCTTCAACACTCTTTATCAATATTTGATTTAAGCATCTGTTGAGTTTTGTTTTTATGGGATTATACAAAAACACTCGTAAATTAGTGTGTTAGTATAGTTAACCTGAGATATCTACGTCCTTTGCTTAACTCCACATTTCTTCAACCAGTATTCCAAGGTATTTAAACTCTATATCATTATAAAGGTAAAAATAGAATAGCTAAAACAGATATTTGATTCTAAAATAACTAAAATTGACTAAAGTATTTCAAGATAATTTCTAAGTGCCTACAATACGTTTATAATTGGTTAGAAAAGAGAATAAGACGTGACTGAAAATATAAGCACCTTATAGATAATTGCAGGTGTTAATTCAGGTGTAGGAAAGCCTTATTGTTGACATGTTCTCGGAGAAGACTTAATATGGAGGTGATTCAAATGACAACGACCAACAGTACAGTACAACAAATGAGTCTTATATTATGTCAGAATCTCTAACTTCCATAAGACTCTTGCAGTGCCTTACGCCAGTCTAAAAAGAAATATTCTAAGACTCCTCAGTTATTTAGACTGGTGGCGCCTTAACCCAGTCTTAAAAGAGTTCTCGAAGACTTTACAGTGCTTTAAAAAAGTCTTATGAGTCTTCGCCACAAAAAGACCAAGAAATACTCACGAACTTCATGATGATGGGCGGCTGAGGGTGGGTGTATGAGAGCGGGGAGCAGGCAGGA